GGTGCAGAGCACCGGGGTGGCCCCGGGGGACGGCGGCTGTGCGTGGGCTGGCGGTAAAATCCCATCGGGTGGCGGGAAGGTCTGCAGGCTCAGCTCAAGACTGGTTGCCACCTAAAACTCTGCTTTTAGTTTTCCTCTTTTGCATCGCCCTGAAATTGTGCCCTGCCTGGGACAGGGGGCAAACACTCGGGCAGGCTCGGAGCCGCGGAATCCGTGGGGTTTGTGCTGCGTCGTGAAGGACGCGCGTAGGGTCCGTTGCAATCGGAGAAATGCCTTCGCCTCCGAGACCTGGCGGCACAGGAGCGAGCAGCGGGCGGGGATAACCCAGGCGGGACACAGCCTGAGCTTTGGGCTGCGCTGGGGACTGCGTGTCCCCGGGGATGTATTTTCACCTCTGTAGAAGGGGATGTATTTTCAGAGGTTGCCCAGCTAAATGAATAGGAAGAAAACTTCTTTTAGGAAGAACTTCCTTTTTGAAAAGAAGTTTGAAATTTTTTCTTGAAATTGTTCGTTTGCTTGAATCAGTGATTCTGGTGTAGAGAGGGGTCCGACTCCTGTGATTGATTTCAACAATTCAGCCAACTTGTTATCAGAAATTAAGTATTGACCATGATGAACACTTCAGATTTAAACTTTAGTGATGATATTTCCACATCCAGTTTTGACCCGTGGAATCCCGATTCTTTGGCTTTGGCTCTCACTGCTCTTCCCTGCCTACCCAAGAGCATTTTCCTTGGGTTTCAGCCCGTGCACCCACTCACTCTCCGCTGGAGTTTCCGATTCAGGTGAATCCATTTCTCAAAGGAAATCTTTCCAGAAAGCATATGAAGTTGTGCTTTTTCTGAGGTTAATTTAACCGCTCTGTGCTTTAACCGTGTTTTTCTAATTATCTGCTGCCTTTGTGAGAGGCTCGGACCGAATCCTCATTTTGATGGGATTGCTCATCTCGAACGCGCCGTTAAAGTACTCTGCACCAACTGCAGGGTGCCCAGCACCATCTGAGACCCTCACCTGGAGAGCTCTGTCCTACCATCCGTCACTTAGGGGTCCCAGTCCTGGGCACCCCTATTTGTACCTGTGCCTCGGGGTGAAGGAGTGCCCCCATCAATATATAGAATAGAATAGAGTAGAATATAATACAGTCCAACGTACCTTAGAGTGTGAGCATGCGTATTGGTGCCTTAGAGCGTTGCTGCTTTCTTTGCATGCCAGCCAAAGGCTTGGTGGCTTCTAGGATGATGGGTGATTGCATTACGTGCTGTGACAAAGACAAACCGAAACCCCCTCTGTAACGTTTTGTTATGACAAAGTGTAAAAGTGGCAATAACCCTTAATTGTGATGTAGCGCTGGCTTAGCTGCCTTGATCGCGGTGTAGTATTTTATGTTATTGAGCAGTCTTAGGAAGCTCCCGTTACAGATCCACGCGCACTCGTCTGTTTTCATAATGTTATTTATCACACTCCTCCATGGCTGTGGTTCTTGCAGGCAGGGGATGAGATGTTCTCCTGAAATCATGCTTCACAGAAAGCGTCACCTCCAGCACCCAACACGTGCTCTTTGCAGAGGGGCGGACACGGCAATCTCCGCGTCACCTCCGTCTGTATCCGTTACTCGTGGCAGAACTGACTTTGTGGTGTACGTCCCATAGACACATTTGGCATCTCGGGGCACTCATAAATCTCTCTCTTTGAAGTCGTTAGTATCGTCACATCTTACAGAATTCATCCTGCCCCTTCAGTAACCCTCTAACACATTTACAGAGCATTTTATGCGTAACAGGAGGTGATGCTCACACCTGATTACCAGGGCCTTAGTGACATTTAAAGCGCTGCTGTGATTAGCCGTTATTAGCACATCTGTTTGTCATTAGGCGGGACAAAAGTGACTCCAAAGCATGAGCAGTGGGCGTAATCTGCAGTGCAGAAGAGCGATGCCTGCATCTAACTTCTCCTGAGCTGCCCGGCCCTTGTTAGCCCAGTTAGCTGGTACCTGGTATCATAGAATCATAGAATGTTTTGGGTTGGAAGGGACCCCTAGAGGTCATCTAGTCCAACCCCCTTGGTCGGGGGAGATGTATTAAAAACCCATACAATGAAATGACTGTTACATAACTATATTATAGATATTATATATAAACTTAGAAATAATTCTGCCTGTGTGTGTGTACATATATGTGATTTTAGATGTATATTCACATACACAACTAGAGTTGCAGGTCTGTGTAACTTGGGCTACCAGGGGGTGCCTTCGGGGGAAGGTGACTTGTTCTGGGCTCGTTAAGTAAGGCCTCTGCTCCCGTGAAGATTGCCAGCTGCGGAGATTTGTTTCAACAGACCAATTTCTAGCAGCAATAAAAGGATCTTCAGTTTACTCGAGAGGTACTAAATTGCATTTGCCATTTACCTAAGTGCATTAAGAGACCGAGCGAGCGCCTCCCTAGCACGGGCCACGCAGCATCGATTCGTTCTGGTCTTTGGGGAATAAAATATGGTGTAGCTCTTCATAAAGCACCTGTGGATCAGAGGAGGATGAGTAAGTGTTCGCCGCCTATCTGGCTCTGTGGGACGCCTGTGGGCCTCAGGGATAGGTGGTATCTTTGCAGCTATATCTGAACCCCTTGCAGGAAGGAAAATCCACTGAGCACCTTTATTGTTCACTACGTAGATGAAAAGTAGGAGTTAGCTGATGGCCATCGGTCACTGATTTGAGGCATAGTAATGTATAGCCTGTAAATGCGTCTGATGGGCCAGGGAAGGCGACTGTGCCATTCGGAGGCCGTGGTCGTACAGGCTGGGACAGATTTCCGCCGGGATTTGGGAAAAAAGCAGGAATTTGGTCCCAGGTGCCGATCAAACATGTCGGTTAAGGACCAGCTGGCCAGGATTGAGACTGAGATGAAATCTTTTATTTTTCCGAGCTACGTGTTTGCATACGATGGTGAATCCGTTCAAATTCCCTGGGAAGCAGAAGTAGGTAAAATTATTTATAGGAAGGCCACCCTGTCTTTCAGAATTACTTGAGACAGTAGAAGAAGAGGTGAATTTTAACTATTTTGCTGTCTTCTGACCTCACTCACATTGTGGTATCAGCTTATCAGCCGCGCCTTTGCTATGAAGGCTGTCTGAAACAAATACCGGTGAAAACTGGAATTTTCCTGTAAGGGATGGCTGCACTTGGGAAGAACGTTTCTGATGAACGCATGTGTTCATGGTGAGTGTCCAAGACAGGGCACTGGGTTGGTTATTGGAGTCCAGACAAAACAAATCTTATAAACTCTTTATTTCATTCATTATTTATACATCTTTTTTGAAAATACTCATTTATTGGTGTTTTTGCCAGCCGTGACCCAGCAAGTCACCTTCTAGCGCTGTGACAATCATGCACCACGCTGAATAAAAACCAGCCTGGAATCACCGGGCTGGCGGAAGTCCCCAGCATTTGTTCATTTCTGATGGAAAGCACCTGCTTTGCAAGCTTGTCTTTTCCTGCTCTCGCTGAATTTACGGGGATTTTACCGAGTTTTTAATGACTTGACATCAACCCTCATCATCGCCATCGGCCGGTACAGCAGGAGCCCATTCTTTTCAGTGAGTCCCCCCCACGCCCCGTTGGATAATATTAATTTCTTCATCTAGGATAGACCTTATCGAAAAATCAGTTAAAGCCCCTATTTTGCAGAAGATGGTAAAAAACCAGAAAACAGAGATGCCGTTCATATCAGTTGTCTCTTCCACTCTGAAGAAAGTGAAAGACACTTTTTTTTTTTTACAGAAACCTCTCATGCTAAATCTGTAGGTGATTCTTGCCCATCAGTTTGATTATAAAAGTAGCAAAGCTCCTCACAAAGGAGTTTCTGTCTTGAAAATGAGAAGAGGCATGAAGTGGTCTGGTGCCCTCACTTAGTGCTGCAGTGCAATTTTTAGGAGAAAAATTTGATTTTGCGCGCTGGAGGTTCGACAGCCTGCAAATGCCGTTGGGGTAGAAGCTCGTTGCCCAGGGTGTTTGTGTGCTAAAGGAGCAGCCAACAAAAGCAAAGTCATTTCTCGGGTATTTTTTTGTTGAGAATATTTGTAAGTATTTTGTTGGAAGTCGTTTTGCTCATTTCTGTTTCTGTAGTGGGAGATGGGGATGAAATTTAATGCAATTACTCTCTGGAAAAAAAAATAATACAAGTGCAGAGAACTTTAGAATAGTTTTGGTTAATTAAACTGTTCCTCTAAGGGGAAACTGTATTATAAACTGGATGTATGCAAGCAATGCAAATGTGTCAGCCACATCTGAGATGAAAATCCGGACCATTTGGGGTTCCACACATCCAGCTCACATGATCCGGATTCCTTTGGGCATCTGTACTTTATGCAAAGGTGATCTGTTCTGCCTGGTTTTGCAACGGGACTTTGCTTCCAAAGTACCCGTGTGTGGCATTGAAGTCTTGGAATTTATCAGAGACCTGAAAACTAGGGTTGGAGAAAAATGACTCAAAACCCTGAGGATGTAACAGGACTCGGGTCTGGAAAATCTCTCGAGGTCAAGGAGAAATGTGTCATCTGCTTTGGGAGTAGGATGGCGCCTTAATGAATTTTGCTGTCTTGGAAACAGGATAACGCGCTAAAAACGTCCCCAGTCGCTCGGTGTCGCAGGCCGTGATGTGGCCCGGGTTGCGATGCACCGACCCCTCTCTCGCTGGCTCTCAGCCTGCACCGGCTTCTCCCCATCTCAGCTGCTTTCAGGCGATCCTTGCAAAAGCCCCCGTGCTGCAGCTGCAATCCCAGATGTTCGGGATCGCAGCCGTGCGTGCTGAGTCCATTGTCCAGTGGATGAGCTTTGTGTTACTGTTTTGAAGCGTGTACCCATTCTCATGCTTTCTCATGAATGAATTTGTTTTCCTCCGCAGCTCATAACAGGTTTTTCCAATTTTGACATTTTGCTAATTACATTTTCCCCTTGTCTTGTTTTTTTTCCAGCTCTCGTAAATGTGAAACTTTGGGCTATTGATCGGCAATGTTTTCAAACAATAATGATGAGGACAGGCCTCATCAAGCATACTGAGTATATGGAATTTTTAAAAAGGTATGACACTTGTTTACTTTCTCAAAAAATACGGTGACTCTGCCATCCTCATCTTCTGACTTCTTTTGTGAGTGCAATATTTGATTTGTTTCCTTCTCATCTCTTGTTTTTTTATTTCTTTTTCGTTTGCTGTTTAACCCTCTGTGAGCCATATCCTCCAGCCCCAGGAGGAGTCTTGAAGGGGTTTAAGTTTTGTACCTGTTGGGAATTAGTCATTGGCAAAGAGTCAGGCGGTGTGTAAGGGAAAAAGCTTTAGTACCAGTCAGTGGAAGCGTACCTGCTTAAAGAAAATACCCAAGAGAAAAACCCCACCCTCACTAGGGAAAAAATCTGGTTCCTAAGCTGTTGGAGAAGCGAGGCCATTCGACGTGTGTTCTGTGCTGCCAGAGGTGAACTGCAAGTTTCTAGGGAGGCAAAAGCTGTAGCTTGCGGTAAAATATGGGTTAGAGAAGTACCAAGAAAGCCATAAAGCCAAGTCTTCCGCTCCTTAAATTTGACTCTCTCCCCTCGGTCTGTGCTGCCCTTTCAAACTAGACCCAGTCCTCCTGCCTGAAGCGGTGCCTCACAGCCCAGTAGATCACCTGTGCCACGGCAGGCGGGACCGGGCTGTGTTTCATGTCAGCAAAATCGTCCCAAATCAAAGCATGACGTCACCAAATCCCAGAGAAAAAAATGGCCCAAGTGAATGTGGTGCTGTAAGCCAGCCCGTCGTTACGAAGGCTTCGCTTCACCAGCCTTGTCCCACATCAGAACGCTCCCCGCTGCGTGGCTTCCCCCCCGCCAGCCAACGGCCCCTCGCTGTGCCGTAGCGGTGCAAGGGCTAGGATTGTACCCAGGAGATGATTTCTCATGATGGTAGATGGGGACGTGCACAAAATCCTTCAGATCTGGGCTCCTTTCCCCCCACCCCTCTCCAGCGGGAAGCTGTCCTTGATTTCTTTCTTTCTTATTTTGGATTCAGCGTGTTTTCAAGATATGGAAATGTTTCAGAAATGATTGCTTCATTTCCAGCCGTTGCTTCTTTATTCAAGGAGAGGTTTGCAGGGAAATGTGCTGCCGTAGGGTCCAGGAGATCCTACAGCGCCAACCGGTGACCTGAGTAACGGTGCCCCCCGGGAGAGGGCGGTTGGGAGGAGAAGTCAATCCCATCAGGCGGCGGGTAACGGGTCTCCCTAGCGCGGCCGTATAAATTCTACCACGCCATGTCACCTGCTTGGCTTAGTTGTGCTTCTGAATGGCTTTTTTGTTTTCAAATTAAGGCTGTTCAAATCAGAAAAGCAGGCACAGGACACTCACTTGGGCGTTGGGTTACACAAACTCGAGGGGCAGCCTGTGTTCACCCAACTTTAGTGTTCCTCCAGTTAGCATTGGCGGAAAAAGGGAGTTGGAAAAAAAAATTATTGTTATTTGATATGTATCATATTTAATAATATCATATGTATAGCAATGTGTATATGTATATAAACTGGCTAAATCTCTGTAACGATATTGTCAGGGAGTCACAAAATTGGGCTGTCCCACAGGGTGACCACAGCCCCCCGATCTGCAGGGAAGGCTTTAGGGATGGGGCAGGGCAAATGCAGCCATGAGGGTGATCCCGTGGGACCGATGCCCTGGGCATGAGCGTGGCCGTTCCACAGCTCAGCCAGGGTGATGGGTGAGGAATTACTCGAAGCTTAGGCACCATTAGCCGCGTAGATGTGGGAGCAAAGAACTGCCCAACTCACAACACTGGTGCTTGGCTGGCTTGACATCCCGCTGCCTGGCCTCTCCTTGTGGCCAGGAGTTTCACCTGTAATTATTTTCAGTCATGAATAGAAATAATAATAAACTAATGACGCTCAGATAATTGGCCGGGCAGCGTGGCTTCTGAGGAGGGCAAGGTGTTTCCCTGGAGAGGACCAGGAGCTCCGTGGAGATGTTCTGCTGCTCAGAAATGGCCTGAAGCTGGAGCCAGCAAAGTCCAGCTTTTTCCAGTTGTCTCAGTTTATGGTTATTAACAAAGAACCTCGGGCGAGACAACAAAACCTGTTGCCATACTGAAAGGGTGTAAAAAATGATAAATTCACACGTTAACAAGTGTCGGCCTTCCTCGTGTGCTGGTGAATGAAACAGGAGAAATGAATATACGATCAGATCTGGGGGTTAGAGCCTCTGGCTCTCTTTCAAAGCAGAAAATGTGCACACATTAAGCTCTTAAGCTTTGAGCTTTAATAGAGATTTTCTAGAAGATTGTCAAGCATAATCTGGACGCAGGTTCCACAGGGCCTGCCCGGCTTTAATTTTAAAGCAAATAGTGTGAGGAAGAAACCGAGAAGCGTTTTCCCACACTGTATCAGAGCTCCTTGGACGCAGCCTGTTACAGTGTGTCGAGCCGCATATTAATGCTCGTTAGAAAGGCCTCAAGCAAGCAGATAGTGTTTTCTTTAAGTCTTACGGTTTGGATTTAGGGAAAG